AGCCCCTGCCCCGGGCTTCCTGGAATCAGCCGCTGATCAGTTTCAGCAGCAGCTGACTTGGGGATGCCTGGGGTTCTTAAGTTGAATCTGTATGTAGGTCGGAACTGGTGTCCAGATTCAGCCGCTGTTGAAACTGATCAGTTTCAGCAGCGGCTGAATCTGGACCCCAGTTCCGACTTACATACAGATTCAACTTAAGAACAAACCTACAGTCCCTATCTTGTACGTAACCCGGGGACTGCCTGTAGACAGGCAGCTGCAAAAAGGGGGGGGCTGTATAAAAGCTTGAAACCACTTCATAAAATAGGATTCTCCACTTCTATCTGCTTTAGTGAGATGTCTTACTACCCTACCCTCCATTCTCCCCCCGATCCTTTCCCTCAACCCTGTGTTAAGGAAATGCAAGCCTAATACATTTATTTAAAAAATACACAAATTACCAAAAACAGTTGTTTTTAAAAATAAATATATCCACTTCAACAAAGACGTCACTGTGCTTTGAAACACATGAGCAAGTCACAAGCTCTGTCAGAAGCCCATTTCCCACTTGCTACTATCTCATCAAGAGACTGACTGTAACAGATGTTTATGCCCCAGAAGCATTTAAGACCCCGATAATGTTCAAAGCTGATATTATGTATAGATTCCTGGCAAGAGCTGGTCATGAAACCTATACTGAATACAAACAAGGGTGGAAATTATTTTGATTTTTAAAAAGTCCTCTGACTGAGCAGGGTGAAGTCACAGTTCAAGTCTCGTAAACTGAACGTGCACTTCAGCCATATGCAATTCCCTGCTGCCTATGTATATATTTAATTCTTAAGTAATTATATTAAAACACAGAGTAAATCAAACGCACAAGGCATCAAGACAGAGTGAGCAAACCATCATTCAATTCATTCACAGAGATGGAAACACCAGCATCATCTGTGCGCTCTGCTACTTATGGGAGAAGATCTATTGGGTTTTTACCAAAGAAGGCAAAACATAGGAGTGCATTCAGTAGTTGGAAAGGACAGGATGCCTCGGCTTATATGCACGATTTCTCTGAGTGCCCAAGCAGCAACGCTTCAAGCCTAATCTTAATGGCTGGACTAGTTACTTGCAGAAAGGACAGGGAATCTGGTGATAAGTCGAGCTCAGACACAGGATGAACGACACTCCAGAACTTTGAGATACCAACACGGAAGGATGCAATCTATGGAGGGGCTTAGGGCTGTTAGATTTGAGTCACATTCCCAGCTTTCCCCATTCCTGCAGTTTTAGAATGGAAATCTGGTGAGGCTGGCATGTCTACTTAACAGACCAAAAGAGCCAAAACTAAAAAGCAGTGTGCCATGCAAACCACGCCAACAAGTAAGACTGGAATAAAGAAGCTTCTCACCATTGTCCCTTTGGCATTTGAAACCTTCAGTTAGTCTCTGTGCATGTTTCAGACAAGCCTTAAAGGAGGACTTTTTATAATGGGAAGAATTGAAGAAAAGCAAAAAATCCCCCAAAAAACAAAAACAAAAAACACACTTACAGCCAAAGCAAATCCCTCAGTCCAGTTCCCAATGTGCAGGGAAGGGAGAGACAGAGTGAGAAGACAACATAATGGTGCTTAGGCCTTCACAGGCTTTTGTCATATTAATAAACGGTCACAAATTATAAACTCCACCCTGCAGTCTATAGCACCTTTCGTCTGGGGATCTCAAAACATTGCTTTTAACCTCCCAGCCCCCCAAGAGGTTTCCTATTATACAAAGAAGGAAACTGAGGCATAGAAATTAAGGGCCTGAATTTCAGGGATGTGGTTCATCCCCTGTTCCAAGTGAAGCTCAGTTTTCCCACCATCACCTAGTCAGGGGCATGATCTCATTTTGAAAATCAGGCTAGAGAAGTCCCAACTCCAAGTCCTTTGTTCTGTCCATTCTACCACTGCAGGATGGAACAACTGACGAACAAAACATACTATAGCAAGAGTAAAGGGTTTTGTTTTTCTAACTAGAACTGCCACTGTGAATTTAAAAAGCAGTAAGGACAATGAGAAAAAAAAACTGTCAGTGGTAAAATAGATTTGTTGTTCAATATAATATTAGAGTGTTTCAGTAATAGTAGCTACAATGAATGGATAAGTGAATAATGATGCTTAACAACATGTTTCGGTCAACTGTAAAATGCAGTTTATAATTTAGCATTATTTGACATAATATAATAGGTACTATAGCATAAATAATCTCAGTCATAGTTGAATATCTGGTGAACGAACCACTTTGGCCAAATCTGAAATACTTTATTTGATGCCCGCTCAATGTGTCAGAGGCACCTTTTTAGAAAAAACAAATATCAACTAATCAGTAAAGAAAGGGATATGTAGATTTTATGTGAATTTCAGTTTTGGTGCATGCTAGTTTGAAATATGACCCCAAATTATCTTGAATCTTTAATGCCTTTTTTAAAACCTCCACAAATGTTACGTGCATCATTTCTATCGAGTTTCAGTTAAGACTGCCCTTAAAACAACCAAATCCTCTTTTGCAATTGTGCCCACTGACAGTGACAAAACTCAGAAGTTCTCCCAAATCTGAAGTGTCAGTTGAACACAGTGACTTGGCAAAGGTCAGGTTTTAGGTACTGTATGTCAGGGTGGGTTATAATACACAACTGCAAATAGCCCCACAGCACCCAGGAAACATGCAAGCTTTATGTTAATGTTCTTAGAACACTTAACTGGCAATTACATCACATGCAGTACCACCAAGCCCAGTGCTTTGTAAATGTAAGGTAAAGGGCCTTTTGTATAAGGGCACACACAGATAAATCGGCTCTGGCTTGCAAGCACAGCCTGTTGAGCTGTAAATCTAGGTAGGCTGACGGAGCCAAAAGTTCCATCACCTGTAATACAGGAGGACACCTTAAATCTCTTGTCTAAATGGAATAGTTTAGTGGGGGGAGGAAAGGGACCCAAAGTTTAGAAAAGATTTCCAAACTCTTAGAAAGAGATTGAGGACACTGCTGTCCCTTGGCTGATAAGGTGGAAGCTGGCCTCTCTTCTGGTTAGGTGCTGTGCTTTCTAAAAAATCTTTGATAGCACTGGAATGTAACGTAAGAGGCTATAAGTGGCCGCCATAGGAGATAATATAAACTACAGCCTCAGACACAGAGGCTGGGGAAGGGGAACTGGGACAGGCTTGGAGGATGAGTCATAGCATTTCACTGGACTACTCCAACTGGGTGTCTGAAATATGACCAGAGGAAGCCCGATTCAATTGACTTTGTCTCTTCAGTCCCCATCATACATTGCTCCAAAGCAGCATCCCAATTCACTCCCGTGTAGCATATCTGAGCGCACTTCAAATAAACATTTTGTTTTCCTGGCTTAGTGGATGCAAGAAAAACCTGCTGTAAGATGTGGGGCAAAAGGAGAATGGTTTAATTTAACCAGTAAGAAAGGAAATATTAATTTAAATTATTAAATAGACTAAGTGCTTTAACTGTCTCATGTTGGTTTGCCACACTTCATTTAAATAAAGTAAAATATTAATTTATGTCCAACACTGTCATAATCAGGAGTGCTGACCAGCACCTGGGGACTAAAGGGTTAGCTATGTCTCCTGTCCCTAGCCAGGAGCCAACAGCAATGCAGATTTCAAACTGGGACAAAGGAATTTTTATCTTTTCCCTCCGTTGTCTGAGTCAGAGCGTTTTCTTCCAAGACTGAAGGAGATGGGAGGCCCGTGTCTCTCTCTGAGAAAAGACTTCTTACAATGTGTAAGTAGGGCAAAGTTTAGACAGTCCATCAGGTTTTATTGTTTTCCTGATTTGGGAATTTAGAACTGATATCTGAGCTTAAGTGTGTGGGTTTTTTTTCCCTCTTTTGTAACTAAAATCTTGAACCCAGGGAATTCCCCTGAGTACATCGATTGATGGCCCTTTCCATCTAGCCACTTTATTAAGCTTGCAAGTGTAGTTTTGTTTTGATATTAAAGTTTGTTTTCTTTTTCTAATTAACTGGTATTGGTTGATTGTTGTGTCCTGTAACTCAGTGCCTAGTTATAAGGGCAGCGTCCATTACAGTCTGTGAATCCCCTGTCTGTG